GTGAATGACAGTATTACTACATACACATATTCTTAAAAAAATGACAGCTGTGGTTGCTCGAAATTCACTGTTAAAATGGTGACAATGTTTTAGGTATTACAGGTATTTATTACAACTTACAATTCATACTGTAGGTGATAATATACTAATATACTAGTCTACCTGAACTACCAAATTTGCTTTACCGTAAATGTACTGATAACCACTGTAATAATATGGGTAGTAAAACAGAAAACCACATGCTGGTTTGTGTTAATCATAAGTGGCCAAGAAGAAACAATTATTTATATGAAACCTATGTGAAATGTCACATACTATTTACTGTATGTCACTGTTCATTATACAGCAATTCCTAGTTTGTGTGACATGTTTAAACCTTTATTGAGCTTGATAAAAGTTCTTGAAAGTGTCTGTCTGAAAAAGAGATAAAGTGCAGTATTAAAAATCAGTTTTCAAGTAGCTAACTAAAAATTAGCCCTATAGTAGTAAACAAAATAAGGTGAACTCTTCATCCATTAAGCCTAAATGGAGTCATGTTGATTTCATTGTGTATTGTATGGTCAAATATATACACTCACACGTTTGATTATTAGTGTTTTAAGAAAACTGTAAAATAAATAAATAAATAAAAAATCATGAGAAAATATTTACACAATCTGTCACCATGCATCATGGAATATTGCTACACAGCATCTATATTTCACTTTGCCAGCTAAATAGCAATCCTGTATGTTGGTAATGGTAAAATAATACTTCACAACTGACTCTTAGTAGGGGAAACCTACAGAGAAAAAAAAAAAAAGGCAAAAGGTAATCATTTTCTAGCGCAAAAGCACTTTAGTGTAATATCAAATGTGTACGTGTGCACATACTTTAGATACAAATACAATCTCAGAGACTCATGTGAAAGCAAAGCTAAGGATCCAAGCAGCCAGTAGCATATATCAAAAATACATGGAGATGAATCATCTTTATTGCTTTACACCACTTCTACCCAGGTGTGCTTTTGCCCAGTCCTACAACAATGAATTTTACTGAGAGTAAAATAAAAAATAAAAGAGAGAAAGAGCGGAAAACAATGAGTGAAAAATTGAGTAGAGCTGACCACACCATTTTCACATTAGAGTTTGCTCTCAAGCCACTTTTCATTAGATGCTAAGTTTGTGGTTGGAGATCCAGAGAAGCAGAGTGTGCTTGCAGCTGAATTGCTGTAATTTTCTGCTTTTGTTTAGCGATAGCTGCTAAAATTCAGAAACCAACAGGGTAAGTGGCTGTTAACTGAAAATACTGTGCAAAGAACAGAATAACTATCTTTCACTCAGGTCTCAGTCTTCCACAGAAATAGCTTCAGTTCTGTTTGATTTCAAGTGTCATTCCATAACCCTTCCTCCCTTTCGCTCTACGTTTCCTTTTCTTGATCCTTCCGCTGTGAGAACATTTGATAGGAAATTAGATTCTTCTCAGACATCTGAATGCTTGCAATAGGCCATGACAGAGCTTCTGGATCCAGTTTGACATGTCTCCTAAGGATTTTGAAATCTATTAATTTACCCGTTCATCCGTTTATTTGTTTTATATCGTTATACTAGTTAGGCCAGAGGATCACTTCCAATGCCTTTCAGATTTTGCAGTTGCTTCATTTCATCTCAAGGCTCTCGCAGTTGCCTGAATCCGTTACTCAGCATTATGATTAAGGTCTTGGCATTTTATAGTGCAGAATTCAATATTTAGTTTAAGGCATGTGTAATATATTCCACTTAATATATCCCACTAAACTAGTAATTAGGCTGTGAGGCAGGGTGATCATTTGTGGTTCCAAAACACTGAGACATTTTCTTCCCTTGCCCTCTATTAGTCGTAACAGTACACGCTAGCAGTTTCTTTGTTCCAGAGACACACAAATACTGCTGCTCTTAAAATACAATATCTGCATTTTATTTCCTCCATCAAATGTGTTTTAAGATGCTAGAGCTTGAATCCCCTCAGCAGAGACACACTTAGATGTCTGGCCGATAAGAGTGCGTGATAAATAACGGTATCACTTTTACAGACATTACAGACATTGCAGGGTTGGTGAATCACTTACCAACTCTGAGTGACTCTGCACTTGGTTTGTTATACAAATGTTTCAGTAAGGACCAGAATAACTTACTCTGTGGTTAGACTATTTACTGTAATTTATCAATGTTTTTATAAATCATCAAGTGGTTTGGTGTTTGAGACAAAGAGCATTTACCCCCAATGACTAAGAAAAGCTGAACTATTCTGAAAAGAATGTTGTGGGTTGCAGGAGAGGGGTCTTCAACCTTTTTCAGATCCCTTGGTGGAGAGAGAGATGGAGCAGGGGCCTTCTGCTACATATTGTATAAAATGGCCTATAACAACATGCATATAGTGCCATATAAATGTATTTACATACTCTGTTATACTTAAAGTATATTACAGAGCTATTCAAATAATTATTGTCAAATGTTCAGTCATATACTTGTAAATGTTAATGAGTGAGAGACAATGAACATTTACCACAACATTAACCTCTTAATTTGAATTTCACTGAATATTATGCTTTTGGATAATGCATATATTCATTTTGTTTTACAAAAACTTGTTTGAGATCAAACAGTAATGTGCAGACTTAATGCAGTACCACTGCGGACCCCCAAGGGGTCACAAATCTCTTGTTGAAGACCTGTTACACCATAGTTTTAACTGAAATTAAGTGACAGAAGACTTTAACTGAAAGATGAGACATGATTATTAAAGTGTTTCTGAATACAGTATTCAGCTATGTACATCTCAACCTCAAACAAGTATGTGTGCGTACTTTTTTTAAAGAAATTAATAATGTTAAATGGCATATTAAATTGATAACACATAACAGTAAAGACAATTCAGCTTTGCCATAATACAAATAAGTTCCATTTTAAAATATGTATTAAAATAGCAAACAGTCACTTTAATTTGTAAAAAATATTTTACAATATTGTAATTTTATTGTATTTTGGATCTAATAAATTCAGCCTAAGTGCATTAGATACTTTTTAAATAAATAATAAAAAAAATAAAAATTCTTATTTTGATCGGGCTAAATGCTCTGGATTCCTAGTGCTCGCAAGAAGCACACTTGAAAGGAAGACTTTAGAGGCTGTAAAACCACTCCAAGTAGCAGTGCATCCTGACATTTTGGTGACCGGTCAATAATGAAAGGAGGGGATAGAATGTCTTCTTTCTCGAGCGCCGATGCCAATTTACAGCCAAGACTGAGATGAGCGTGAAGCAATATAATGTAATCAGGACCTGACAGTACAGAGGTCTGCTTGAGGGCACCCACTTTCCTAGTTCTCCGCTGGATGCACTTTATTTGGGAAATATTTATGGGCTTTGCTTTGCAGACTGGCAATTGGTTAGGTTTAGGTTTAGTTATCCACCCGTCTTGTGCCTTTCACACTCTCACAAACCCCTCCTCTGAATGTGTGTGAAGTGAGGATTTGACGTACTATGATTAGGGTAAGGATGGCGCTGCGTGCGTGTTTGGGTGCAGCGGGCTAACGTGGCTGCTGTTGTCAGAGCTGAAGGTTGTTAGTGGCTCAGTGGATGAGAAAATACCCGGCGGGCCGCTCTCCCATACCACGTCTGCCTACACCCAGACATAGAGCCTCAAGTGGTTAATTATGGGATGTGTAACATGACAAGTGTTTACACAGGATAAAAATCTGGAAAAGGATGGTCTTGTGTGACATTTATATTAGGAATTTTATGAGACATTATCTAATTTCCTATATTAATTAAGTTTATGATTTTTTTTTTTTTTTTTCAAAATGTAATTTATTTCTGTTATGGCAAAGCTGAAATTTCTGCAGCAATTACTCCAGTGATTTGATGCTCAAGAAACATTTCTTATTATCAATGTTGAAAATAGTTCTGCTGCTTAATATTTTTCAAGATTATTTTATGAATATAAAGTTAAAAAGTTCAGCATGTATTTGAAATGGAAATATTTTGCCACTTTATAAATGTCTTTAATGTCACTTGTAATCAATTTAAGGCATCCTTGCTTAATAAAAGTATTAATTTCCTTTAAAAAATCTTACTGACCCCAAGCCTTTGAATTATAGAGAATGAGTTTATGTATGTATTAATTTATTTTTTCTCTTCATGTTGTGCTCTTTATTCTTTGTCTGATCTTCTGGAAGTGAATAGAAACGTTTTTTTAAATTACATTTTCAAATAAACATCTATGAGACCTATAGACCTTGTGGTTTATATTCTGCAACGTAGAGAATAGCTTACCACAACAATGGTTTGCTGGTAGACCGCTGACTGTGTAATGTCTAATTGAATAGGCGCAAATGGGCTTACAACCTCTGATGCTTAATTAATTCAGGGTACACTGTTACAAAATGAATTAATACATTTCAACACAGTCGATTTAACTTGACTCCAGTGTGGTCTGACAAAAGCCACATTGTATTGCCAAGTTTTATATACAGTGGGGTCCAAGATTGAGAGCACTAGATTTAGATTTAGCATTAGATTTTTTCTAATTTAATGAATTGTTTTCATTACAAATTGTATAAGCATAACAATTTAACTAAAAGTTGAATTGAAATACTAACATGAATTTCAGAATGTATCTGTGTTTGATTTGTCCCCTTTTGCTTTAATGAGAGCAGCACTCAAGCTGCATGAACTCCCCAGGTGTGTTTGTAAAACCTGATGATCATGTTCTCCAGCATGATTTGAGCCAAAGAACATCTTGTGCTTCAGCGGAAACAAGAATATATGACCTTTACAAATCATTTTTGTCACATGATCAATGACACAAATGTTCTCATTTGATTAGTGACCTAGTAATAGTGCAGAAAAGTGTCATTAAATGTTTTATTATCCTAAAACTATTATCCTGTGTATTTCCAGGATTTATGCAGACAATTTAGACATTTGTACCTTACATTTCGCCATGTGACTAATGATGTTTTTTCTCTCCTTTTTTGTTTCAGAATCAGAGAGGAAGAAAGAGTGTAAAAGTATGACTTTGTGATGAATCTCAGAGGCCAACTCCAGTGAGGTGTCCTCCTGTCCCCCTCAACCCCTTTAGAGACCACACCATCCAGCGGACACCATTTCAAGGATTCTCTCTGGACCTTGATACCCACAGGAGGGGTGTGAACAGGAAGGCCCAGAGGAAGTGGACAGTGTGGGCAGGATGTGGGAGGGACTGAGACTGCAGGTGTTCTTCTTATGTTTGGGGGCCGCACTATGGAGCGCTGCAGCGGCAGCGACACACAGGGGCTCAGGGCCACGGGAGCGCGGCCACCGCCGCCATCTCTCTTTGCACAGACACAGGGAGAGAGGCAAAGAGGGCCAGGTGCTTCACCGCTCCAAACGAGGCTGGGTCTGGAACCAGTTCTTTGTCATTGAAGAGTACACAGGCCCAGATCCCGTCTTAGTAGGTCGGGTAAGTAGAAACAAGGAACTTCTACATCCATTTCTCTACATCCGTTCTTTATCTGCCTCCCCCTCTATTTTTCTCTTAAGGTTATGCTGTGAATGAAAGTCATTGGGGTTTTCATTACAGACAGAGTCCTTGCAATATCCTCCATTTGTTCCACAAAAGCAATCAGTGGCCCACTTGATTAAAGGTTATAAATTGGATTTCCTTTTTAATAACGGTGCAGTCCCCTATGGTTCTTGCATAGGGGAAATGGACGATTTATGGGCCTGCCGGATAGTTACATGGCGAACCTGCAGCACGTTGGCCTTTAAATTCCCACCTGAACCCAAGTGGAGGTTTAGACTTATTGAGTGGGGATATTCTGTGTCAGGAGTTTAATTTCATTTTAACCAGCATAATCAACATCCCTTGATTCGCATCAGCTCTATACACTTTGCTTGCAACATATAAACAGTCATACATTACGAAAATGAGGTTCGTTCGCATTTTAATATAAAACGATGAAGTTCGCTCGAGAGTAATGTAGACTAGCATTTAGGAGAGGGATGTTTCCCTGCTGAATTCACTGTCAATGCAGTCGGCCATCAGGGTGGATATTACTGTAAGATATGAGTGTGTTAATGTGATACTCTAGAGGAGATGCTATCATGGATCGCTGAAGACCAGCCAAAAAGCTTTCTACTTTGAGTCAGCGTTCTTGTTTGACCTGCTCGTTGTTGATGGAAACATCTCACTCACATGCTCTTTATCTTCTTCCAGCTTCATTCGGATGTAGATTCAGGAGATGGAAACATTAAATACATACTTTCGGGGGAGGGAGCAGGCACTATTTTTGTCATCGATGACAAAACGGGCAACATTCATGCCACAAAGACACTGGACAGAGAAGAACAGGCCCAGTACACCCTGACCGCCCAGGCCGTGGATCGAGACACCAACAAACCCCTAGAACCTCCCTCAGAGTTCATTGTCAAGGTGCAGGACATCAATGACAATCCACCAGAGTTCCTTCACGGCCCTTACTATGGGCGAGTGGCTGAGATGTCCAATGTTGGTGAGTGCGAGCCTCTGGAAAAGCATATTTGTCAGCTTCTTCTCTTTCTCTATGAGCCCACGCCTGACAGCTTGTTCCTCATGCATTATTCAAAAGAGCTGAAATCTGACTCTCAGAAAGTGAGTCGGTACTCTTGTTGCAACTGTTGTTTTGCGACTGCTGACTTGTCTGTGTGTGTGTGTGTGTGTGTGTGTGCGCTTGCATTTGTTTGTGTGCATGTGTTTGTGTTTACTGCATTTTCGCTGTGCAATACATCATCAGTAATGCTCTCCTGTCACGGGGTAATGATCTGTTACCCCGATACCCCCCGTTCACAGCTCACATAATACTACTGGGAACCTCGAAAGGCTAGTTTTGTCCAGGTCAATTCCTTATACTTTTAGACAAGTTGGTAAACACGCTGGGTAAAAACAGAATCAGATTTCATGGAAATTGGCCCGGCTGAAGGCAAAACATTGCATGCACAAACCCGAGGCAACGGTTTGTATCATCTAGCTTTAGACTCTGAAAAACTCTTGTTGCCTTTAAGAAAGGTTATTCAAGATCAACTTTATAACCTGAGAAATAGCCAAGTTGCTGTCCTCTCTCTTATCTTTGTTGTGAATGTCGATGGGAGGTGTACCTTAGACTTTGAGATCTGTGCAATATCCAAAAGCGATCTCTATCATGGCTTTCTCTTCAGGTACTTCAGTGATAAAGGTCACAGCTACAGACGCCGATGACCCCACATACGGCAACAGCGCCAGGCTGGTCTACAGCATCCTGCAGGGCCAGCCTTACTTTTCTGTGGAGCCACAAACAGGTACAGTCGTCAGTAATGATATTTTCACTGGTTCAGTGTTAGTTCTGTGGAGCCAGCCATGCATTCAAATATGCATCATGTGCAATTTCACGTCATGTTTGGCTTCAATTCAATTACCACGGTATGAGGATTGGGAATGAAGAGGGTAGTCTTTTCACGCTTCGCGAGAGCACCTTGCATTCTCTGAGCTAAATTAACCCGTGGTCACATTAGTCCTACAGTGTCCCAGTGGCAGTGGAAACCCCTACAGCAGTCAGAGGAGATGGAGCAGATGCTGCTAATAAACTAAAGCTGGATGTTTGGCTCGATCCTGTTCAGTGCTGCTCATCTGTGTGGTACTAACAAAACTGCCTGTGTATGAGATGCACACAGTAGGAGATGTAGAAGAGGGTACAGGATTCCCCCTTAAGAACAGTATGCATTTACTGTAACTTGATGATCATCAAGTATATTAAGGAAAAAACATTTGCTAATTCGGTTCACACAAAATGTGTAAAATATATATTCTATCATTTTAATGATTTTTTTTAATAAGATGTCATTCATTTGAAATACTAAATTACTTATTCCATGCAAATGTATGCATTTGACAGATTAGTTGAATGAATAATGACAGTCAAATCAAATAGCAGAATATAATCATGCAACTGAATTTTAATTGAACAGATTGTTGTAATAGCAATTATTTATACATTTAGACTAAATGTGACACTGAATTAGCCCATAGGTTTATTGAGCAATGAAATGTTTGAAATATGCATCTAATTCGCTGAAATATTAAATAGTTGGTGCTTTCTGACCCAGTTCTGAGGGGGGCATCTAACTTAAAGGGTTTTCACTTCAAAATAGCAATATTTGTTACTGCAAAAATCCATTCCAACTGGTTAGATGGAATAAATCTCATAAATGCTGATGAAACATACAATAAATCAATTAATGAATGGATGGTCATAAATGAATGGTCTGGGGTGCATCTTACTTCATATTGTGTTTATATGTGTGTATATAGGAATCATTCGAACTGCTCTTCCCAACATGGACAGAGAGGCCAGGCAGGAATACGATGTCGTCATCCAGGCCAAGGACATGGGTGGACACATGGGCGGTCTGTCAGGGACCACTCAGGTTAAAATCACCCTGACTGATGTCAATGACAACCCTCCGAAGTTCGCTCAGGGTGAGAGAATTTATTCTTCCAGCTGTGAATGTTCCCTCTTTCTCTGTCTTTCTCTCTTTTCCTATCTCCATCTCTCATCCATCCATCATTTTTGTCCTCCTCTATGCTTGTCAGGTTTTATTATTGTCACTGTGACCATGCCTTGCTCTTTGGCTGGCTACACACAACATTACTCTGACCTCTGCTATGCATGCACCAAGGGAGGAGAGTTTGCTTTTAGCCAGTGTACAGCTCTTTCTTCTCCACACTTCAATCCTCAAACCACATATTAACATTGACAAGCCCTCAGGGAACAAGTCAGAATCTGCTAATATGAGCTACAGATGTTAACATGAAAATATCACAACTTAATTATTCAAATGTTCTTTAAATGTTCAGCGCGAGCACAATGACATCAAGTCTCTCGAGCGTGAAAGGCTAGATGAAATATTTACTATGTTTGCGTATACAGAAGAGAGCAGGAACGGGCTAGTGTGAGCTAGCGTTCATGTGTTGCCGATGTGACATTAAACTGCACACTAAGCACATAGATTTTATCTGTCTTTTGTTCCAGAAATCGGCCCTATAAATCTCCTCCGAGCTTTTGCTTTTTTGTGCGCTCTGAGCCTCAGGCTCGGTAGCAAAGGGCCTTCAAGCTTTTCCCTGACTTAAGCAGAATGCAGCATGGTCCCAGCGCTCCAGCTCCTACACAAGCCCTGTTTTTGGTGCTGGTCGAAACCGTTATTCATGGACCAAAATAAACTGTACATTGCAAGGTTATTGCCCACAATGAGTAGCTTAGGCCAGCAGATCCTTAAATCTACCTCGCCGATAGTTTTGAGCCGACTGCATGATGGAACATTTCAGGAGCAAGATTGATTTTTTAATGTGGACAGCTGTTTGGCTCAGAGCACAGGTGAGAATCTGAGCTTCAGATATTTAATGTGGTTCTGTTCACTCTGAAAAAAATGCAGTTTGAGCAGTGGGCTGTCTCTTTTAGGCTCAATATTGATTCACAGAGATGTTTGCCCTATCCGAAACAGACTTTGACACATGACTCGCTGCAGACTTAGCTCCCAAAAAAATGTGTAGATGAAAACGCTTTTTTTTTGGTCTGTCGAGGGTCTGATTGAAAAAGCAGACCTCTTTGCATGCCCTGGCCTTTCTTCGCGAGGACTTCCTCCCCATGTGGGAGTTATTTTTATAAATGCAGCTGAAGCTTTTGGCTCTCAGCAGACAGGGAGTGGAGCCATATGGTTCTTCTGCGAGCTCCAGCCTCAGGCAGGTGTCTGCTATAGTCTTCATACACCCACCCACATACGCATACAGGCTCACTCGAACACACAAATATAAATTTCACACATGCACTCCTGTTCTCACCAGCTAAGAGCTCACAGGTGCGATCTGGCAGAGAACGGACTGGTGGATTATCGCATCTTGGAGGGAGACGGCATGAACCTCTTCGAAATCACCAAGGACTCGGAGACCCAAGAGGCAGTCATCAAATTAAAGAAGGTGAAGTGTGTAAGAGCGCCAAAGAAGTATGTGTTAATGCAACGTCTAGTTACGTAAGTGCAATTGTGAATGGAAGCAAGTATGTGCGCAAAAAGGGATGGGTGTTCTTGTCAGATAGCATTACTGTGAATTTCTCTATCCATCCCTTAGTCTTCTTGAGGAATCGTTTGCATTTAGCTTATTTGCTTGTTCATTTGTGTTCATATTTGCATGGACGCTCAAATATGCAAGGTTGTGAGCACAAGTGCAGGACTGCTGGGAAGCTAGAAAGTGATTTTTCACCATTTTCACTCTGTAATTGCAATGACATTGCCCATCCCTTCCCTATTATGTCTGAGATGAGCATTGACTTTCATGGCTGCTTCTCTCCGTCCGTGTGAGGGAAGCTCATCTGGGCCGTGCTGCCCGGGTTATTCCTCCCCTGTTCTGAGGCCCTGGATTATGCAGACAATTACGCAGCCACTCGGGTTAGGCTGCTGCCCATCCGTACCCCCACCTCCCGTGGCCGAGAGAAATCTCACATCACCCCGAGAAGCCTGCTAGCCACTAACCAGCTTTAGCCTGAGAGCCAAAGAGACCCAGCCTGCAGCCTTAACACTGCCCCCTGCTGGTGATCATTTACCTCTCACCCCCACAGCTTAAGATCTCTAGTGATCATCCACAAAATTATCATTAGAAAGGAAAGCATATTGAAGAAAGAAAAACGTATGCAGTCAAGAATTATTGCTGTTTAAGCTGTGTAAACCGGTGAAGCGTCAGTATATTGTGAATGTTGTTTGTATAAAGGAGGTTTGTATGGTGCAGGAACAATTGGAGGGGGATTTTGTCAGCCTCGCTTGTGTTTTTTTTTTTTTTTAAACGTCATGGCCACAGCAGTGCTTTTTCAGATTGCTGAGAAGGGTATAAGGAGGGGATGAATCATGCAGAAGGGTGAGAGAACAGACAATATGGCATGCCAACAACAATCAGCTTGATGCAATGCTGCTTCACTCAATAACACAATGTCTCACTGATACACCTCTTGGGAAATCATCACCTTTTGCTCTTCAAAGCATGTTGAAAATTAAGGTCGAAATTACTGACAGAATGGCCAGGGTTTTAATCAAGTATTCTGTTTCAACTGCGGGCAGGCGACACAGGCTGAATATTAAGAGGAGATGTAGCATTATTGTGAATACTATCTGCTCCTGATTAGGTTCAGTCGGGAGTTATTAGGTGCCAAATAAAGGATTGTAGTAGGGGAAAAAGAGAAGGAGGGGGGACTGATGTTGTCAGGATAAACAGAGAATAGTTTCCAACCTGTTGGAGGAAAGAAATGGGTCATACTTGTTTCCAGCATTGGCAGCTCCATTAAAGAGATCCAAAGAAAAGAAAATGTGAGAGAAGAGAATGAGGAAGCAAGAAAAGCAACTTTCATCCAATGAACACACAGCTAGCCGCCATGTGTACGTGTGAGTGTGTGTTTGAGTTGATATGTACCCTTTATGTGTAATTCTCACTTGGTAATTTGTGACCGAGAGGTGTGACGGGTGAGACAGGCTAATCAGAAAACAGGCGGACGTGTGAAAACTGGCGATGCAGGAGGACACGAGCGGACCAAATGACTGGCTGCTTTTGAACACTTTTTTTTTAAAATCTTGTTTTATTTGCTTGAACCTAAATTGCATGAGAATTGTGCCATTTGAGAATTGTAAAAAAGTGCAATCTGTAACTGAAAGATGTCTGCAAGAGCCTTGATATTTGAATGCTTTCTTATTCAGGCTTCTTTGTGGATTCAGTCTCCTTCCCAAATGTATAACAACAGTGCCCTCTAGTCTGCTTCTTTTAAACTTTTCCTTTTTTCCCTTTTTTTCTGGTTAGCTATATTCTAGTGTTTACTTTTCCTATTTCATTTCACTTGATTTACTATATTTGTAATCAATTAATGGTTGTTTTATTGCTCAGACTAATTTATCTCTTAATTCACCTTTGGTTCTCCATGTAGTCCAGAATCAATTGAGATGGGTCATTTTCATATTTGAACATGTAGAGTGATTCCTGAAAAAAACTAAATTTTTTTTTTTTTTCTATTGACAGCTTCCATCAAAGTGAATAACTAAATTGTATCCTGACCTCTTGTTTTCAGCCCGTGGACTTTGAGACCAAGCGATCATATACGCTAAAGGTAGAAGCCTCCAACCCACATGTGGACCCACGTTTCACTGCCTGGGGTCCATACAAAGATACTACCATTGTGAAAATATCAGTAGAAGATGCAGATGAGCCCCCGACCTTCATGGCTCCCGGCTACAACTTTGAGGTGGAGGAAAACGCCCCAGCAGGCACTCTAGTCGGCCGTGTGCATGCCAAAGACACCGACATCATGAACAACCCAATCAGGTAGCAACTGCTTCCTGTAAAATAATCAGATTACTTTTGCTTTACCTGTTTTTTGTCAGTACAGCAGTATGATCAGTTTTTTTTCTTTCTCTTTCATCCCAGATATATGATTCTACGCTACACAGACTTGGAAGAGTTTTTCACCATTAATACTGAGGACGGCATTATTAAGACCACAAGGCCTTTAGATCGAGAAGCACAGGCTTGGCACAACATCTCTGTCAGTGCTGCAGAGATTGGTAGGTCACTCATCGCTTTTCTGGGCTTTTAAATAACAGAGTAGCTTTGCATGTTTCTCATTTTTTCCCTAACCAAGCTCCCCAGCTCTCCCTCCACCCTGCTCTTGTGTGGTTGTAGTGTCGCCAGGCCTCCTGCATGATTTCAGAAGAGACAGCCACAGATTACCTCTTCAAACTTCAAATGATACCCTCAGTTCAGTGAACAGTGTGTAATTGGCCATAAAATGTTATATATTTATTTTTGTGTGCATGTGATTTCCTTGAGGTGCAGTTAGTGTTTGTTCTGTTTGAATTCAAAGATTCTGTGTGATACATTTTCATTCCACTGTCTTTGATAATTTTGACCATCAAAAATTCAAGGTCAAAGACATAAAAACTACATCGAAAATAGTCTTTTGTTATGTGGAAGACACTGTGTCTGAAAGCAAAATATCAAGGGATTTACTAAACCTGATCATTTCAGATTTTCCAATTGTGACAATTTTGGTTCTGTCCTGTCACTCATGTCCTTCCACTAAGGGCTAACTAAAGTTTTTACAGCACACTGAATTATTGATAAATCTTAAAAATTTGTCTCATTTTGAATTCTGTTGTTGTTCCAGGCGGCCATCACCAAGATGCAAAAGTACGAGTCAATATCAAAGTCAAAGATGTGAATGACAACGCTCCAGAGTTTGCCACTCAAAACGAAGTGCTTGTCTGTGAGAATGTCAGCCCTGGAAAGGTAAATCAACTAACTGTTTATTTGAGGACCAATTAAATATGTTTCAGCACTTATTAAATAATTAGCAACACCTTAACTAATGTAAACACTTGATGTGTTTATGTTATTAATGCATATACACATACACTACCATTCAAAAGTTTGGGATCAGTAAGATTGTATTAATTACTTTTATCCAGCAAGGATGCATCAAAAGTTACAAGTTACTAAATTACTAATCTGTGAATTAGAATATTTTCTGAAGGATCATGTGACAATACAGACTGGAGAATATTGAATTTATTGAATTTATTTATTTTTTTACTGTATTTTGATCTAAAAAATTAAATGCAGCTTTGGTGAACATAAGAGACTTATTTTAAAAGCATTAAAAAAAAAAAAAAAAAAAAAAAAAAAATAAAAACAGGGGGAAGATCTCACTACTTAAAATGGGTTTACAATTTAGATTTTTTTTTAAACAGTATAGCAGGGTCAGAAATTAATGTTACCATAGATAGATAGATAGATTTTTGGCTTAGATAACTTAATGTCCCTTATTTGATCCTTGTATCTGTGAAATGTATGACTGCCTTTAAATAGGTACAGGAAATGGTTAATGAATTAGCTAATTCCTAAAAGAGGTCACAACTTCTATCACAACTTTTAAATGAGCACTATAAAAAATTATATTGATGCCTAAATTTAATCAATTCAGTGTTAACTTTCCCTTTGTCGGCCAGTTGCAAGTTTGAATGAGTGACAGAGAAAAAAGAAAGAGAGATAAAAGAGGCATACATTTATTTAAAGGCATGCCCTGGTGATTTTAACCAATTTATCATGACCTGATTTGAACCCTCTGCTCCACAGCTCATTGAAACAGTTAGCGCTACGGATAAGGACGAAATGGCCCACCGCCAGCACTTCCACTTCAGCCTGGCCCCTGAGGTCACTAACAACCACAGTTTCTCCCTCAAGGACAACAGAGGTGTGTGGCACACAAAACACACCATAACAGAATAATTTGCACTGAAGAACTGCTTCTTTCAAGCCAAGTAAACTGCCTAAGGAAATACGCCATTTGAAAACACATTTGTTTTAGTCTCTTTCCAAACCAAATGAGTTTATCCATGTGTAGTAGTGAGTGTCTGCAGTGTCGCCCAGCCAACCTCGTGTTGATAATTAGGTCATGATGAGGTGGGAAAACTCAAGTCAAGCGTCGCTCTCATTTGAGCTTCTCCATCTGTGGATTTGAAACGTGGGTGAGGCCCAGCTGGTAGGCAGCCCCGTTTCTATCTGTTTCTCAAGCATCCTGCTTGGTGTTCCCAGAAAACCTTCAGCACCATACTTTAGTCTAATAGTCTTTCATCAAACAGGTAGGCACAGGTCTGAAGAACATGTATGAGAGCCCCACCTATACTGTAATGTGAGAGTCAGTCGCTGGGAAACGAGAAGCCTCAAGTTAGAGCCAGTTGAGGAGCCTCTCTGAGGAGTGTCGTCGTGACTGGGTGGTACTCAGTTTGAGGGGAATTTGCTGCTTTTATATGAACTCATTATGTGGTGGCTCTTGATAGATTACAAGCTGAATTATGTATGCATCAAAGAAACTGTAAATCGTGTTTACTTTGCTCACAAGGAGCTTTGGTGTTATTTTAGAATGCTCAGTGTGACTGCTATGATATGATAATGATAGTAGTCTAACATATGCTAACAAACTAAACTATTTTCCACCTGTAGAGCTGTTTAATTTCGAGTCGTACCTGGAAGAGAATTAGAATTTTCAAGCCGTCAGATCAGAAATTTGCAGTCGGTTTTTGGAATTACTTCAGATTTTCCTATTTTGCTTACACAAATTACACGCTAAACAGTGGAAGCTGCTGTGCTTAAAGAATCAGACAACTGTAGCTCCATGTAATTTAACCATATGTTACCATTTTACTCAAAAATCGAAAACCTTTGCTTTTCTGAACACCTCAAGGGACCCCATGGTGAAATAGCCTTCCAGGTTGGCCTACAAATTGACATAATTGACTGAGCTGCTCCATTCCATTGGCTAATTTCTGATTGTGCTATTTTTCTCGTTGACCACCAATAGATTGGAAATATAATGAAATCCCAATAGCTGATTCCAGTAACTCCACATAATTGGTGCCTTAGTGAGCGAAACATGCATTAATTGTTTTTAAAGGGTGAATGTTTACAATCACAGATCTGTTTAGGCTTTTTTCTTGGTTAATAGAGCGAACCGATGTGAACCTAGAAGTTGAGGGAATGAAAGAGAGAGAGAAATGACTGTCTTTCCCATTCGGTCTGCTTTAATGAGAAAGGAGATGAGCACTTTTTAGCAGGCCATTTCAAAAGCCAACAATATTAGGGAGACAGATTAGGCTACTCAGATTGACTGGCCTTATCAGGATCCAGAGCCTTTCAAATGGATACAGTTTTCAACAGCTTTGCCCACCCATTTATCTGAAGCTCCATTATGCTCCACTCTCCGCACAGAGGCTCTGACATTGCTCCTCTTATCAGATGGACGTAATGAAGGCCTGCTGATTATAAATGTGCATGAACTCTAAATATTAAGTATATAGAATATTATCTGTGTTTAGTAATAATGAAAAAGTAAAAATGCATCAGATCTGGTTTTGGTCTGCAAGGTTTTGAGAATGCAAACTGAATTTAAATGTGGGAATTAATCATCATCCAGCAATTGCAATTTTTAGTAAATATCTGTCATTGAGAGCCATAAAGTTAGGGTCTGTAAGTTCCCTTTCGTGGAACTTCGAACTGCGTCCTCTAGGGGTCGCTATGGGGAACGCCTCATCGTGACTTATGTTTTAAAAAAAAAAAGTCAAAATAGATTCTTGCAGTCTTTTTTTAATTGAAAGTTTAAAATAACTTATGCCGTAATTTTTAAACACATTATTTGAATATTATGGAAGCCCATTTCTGCTGAAGTTATCAAGTCAGAGATGTAACATCACAATTGCTTCCCAGCAGGCACACAATATTATAAGACGTTTATATTTGGTTAAAAAAACTAAAAACTAGGTTGATACTTCGGGTGACCAAAATTCAATGTCAACTCAATGTCTAATGTCAGTATTAATTTGATGTCCAATACTGACGTCAGTTGATGTTGATATTTGTTGTTTTTAGGTTGTGTAACCAAAATCCAACGTTAAGTCAACTTCAAATTGGCGTCAAATACTGACGTCAACCCAATTTTCATTCTCAACCAAAATGCAACATCTGTCCAACGTCATGTCCAACGTCAACCTGATGTTATATTGATGTCCTGTGCCTGCTGGGTTGTTATAAAGTCAGAACTGTGAGATATAAACATACAATTCTGAGAAAAATACTTTTCATTCCGTGGCAGAAACTTCTTCCATAGAATATTTTCCAGATAAGGATTTATGAAGAATTTGATTTGGCTTCACATTGACAGTGTAAAAAAAAAATGCGTTTATAATAGCAGACTCAATATTTTTGTCACACATTATGCGCACATGACCAACACATTCATGCTCCCTTCCTGGCACAAAGGAGACTTCCTTGAGAGTGCTCAGTGTACAGCATTTGCCAATAAAGGTGGCCCAAAAGCACAACATTGTAAACAAGGACCCAGAGGAGCTCTCTCAGGTTCAAATGTTGCAAATTGATACTTCACACAGCCCATGATAATCTCACTGACAGAATATGATATAGAATTATAATGGATAACATTAGATTGATCGAGCCTGTCCATGGCATCATGCTATATGAGTGTTGTAGCCATATCATTAGTGGCCTTCCCTGACAGAGCCACTGAAGGTTGAAGAAAGTGGTGCCAGAGGGAGTGAAAATGACTAAACCCCAGGCCCCTAAATGAACTCACTCCATCTATGCCTTCAGCGTGACCTTGCACTGAGTCAGGGAAATGCGCTGGCACTGATCCATCCCTCCCAGTTGCAAATAAAACCAATACCGCTCCCTCCGCTCTAACTTTGATTACACTTCCAAAAGCTGATAAATGTTCTCAATATTAAACATGAATTTAATATTGGAGGATTCACACCTCATTGACTCTCACCGGTGGCTATGGGTAGTTCTCATGCACCTAAACTCCAGGGAACGGAGAACTTTCCTGTAATTCTATTCAGCGCATTTACAACTCTGTTGTTGTTTTACTAAAATCCTGTAACCTCCTCATCAGCTGAAGTAAACATTCCATCAATGTTTCTCTGTTGCTTCCACAGATAGCACTGCTAGCATCTTTGTGATCCGGAAGGGCTTCAGCAGAATGTCCCAGGATATATATCACCTTCCCATCGAGATCAGCGACAATGGTGTACCCCCAATGAGCAGCACCAATACTCTTATAATCCGTGTGTGCAACTGCGACAGCAAAGACACTATTCTCTCTTGCAATGTGGAACCTTTCATCCTGTCAGCAGGGCTCAGCACCGGAGCTCTGATTGCCATCTTGGCCTGTATTGTTATTCTACTGGGTAAGCCTAATTGTATTTGTATATGAATACACAAGCAAAGCAACCACGTGTAAATAATAGAGGTCTAGCTTGGTTGGTTTAAACATCTTATAGGGACCTGATGCATGTCAATATTTGCATTTCACCCCAAAACACACTGGAATTCTTTTACACTCATACAACTACAGAAGCGTAAAGTATTTATAGAACAGATAGTTTACAGAGAACATAATTTATTTACTTTGCTTGCCTCTAAAACTGATTAGGGATTTGTTTCCCTAAAGCATTTTGAGCCTAAGTAGGTTATAAAGACGATTGTTTACTTAAGTAATATTTGAAATTGTCAGAGACAAATGCTTCAGAGTAAGACAAAACTTGACCAAAAAAAAAAACATGATAACAAATACAAATAAATAAACATATATGAATGAATGATTACATACATAAAAAATATAAAAGTACAAAATAAATATATTTTATATTTATATATATTTATAGATTATATTTATGTTGAAATTTAGGTCAAAGAGCTTGTATGTTATGTTTTATACAAAGTGTATATATATATATATATATATATATATATATATAAATACATATATATAAATATATATAAATATAAATATATAAATATAAAACATAATGAAGAGTTTGGTTCCAAAACGCTATAAATCCATTTTGAAAAACCCTTCAGCCCAGTTCCATCTACGAACAATCACAAAGAAAGACCTGTGAGCTCAAAAATCGCCTTAACTAATGGACACTCTTGCAACGCAGTGCATTTTTTGTAACTTGAAAGCTATATCCTAAAGCAAGCTAAAGTCCTTATAACGTATGTACAGTACAATGTGCAAAATATGTCTCTTGAGGATCAATCTTACACCGATCAGTTTATGTAAATCTCTCTCTCTCTCTCTCTCTCTCTCTTTTCATTATGATGATATCATTATGACTATCATTTTTTTCAGTTTTCTTCATTTCTCATTCTGTTTAATGGCTTATGTTATTCTCCTTGGTGAGAAAATAGCAGTCTGTCTTGTCGGAGTGAGAAATGGCTAATTTCTATGTCGATTTTATGGTAACTATTTGTACAATTTTAAAAGTTCTTATTTTAGTATACATACAAATATCAGTATTTCAACATGTAAGGAAAATATTACAGCATCACACTTATATTTTATGAACATTGTACTGTTGCTTTATTATGTGCTTCAATCTAAGAAGCAAAAACTTTGAAATAAATGCTCTTTTTATAAAAATTAAGAAATATTTGTGGCGGTAAGACATTTGTGTGAACACAATGTATCGGCGCTTTGCACGACGTATAACCACTGTAGCACGACTCATGATGGAAACACAAAGGTTGAATATGAATGCTGTGCAGCACATGAATTGCATTCGCACTCGCAGAGACCTGCAGAGCTTTTCACCGGCGGCTTCTGTGCTTTCCAGTGGTAGGTCTCTCCATTGTCTCCCAGCAGGTAGGCTTGCATTCTTTCCTCTCCCAGGGTAGCCGCACACTGAAAGGTCAATGTGCACTTTGTTAAAAAAAAGAAAAAGAATGAAAAGAAAAATAGTATTACATAAAACCGAACTTCAGCCCACCTGAATGAGATTGGACACCAATTTCCCTGAAGGGCCTTGGAAATAAACAGAAGAGCACTGCTGCAGGCTCTTCTCGCCCATGCAGGAAGACTACATTTGCCGAAACCGTGTATGAAGTGAAGCACAGGAAATAGCCTCTGATGACAAACTGTTCCCTATGGAACTGTAGCCCTTAGCTGTCCTCCATGGAATACTGCTGGGTGTCCTCTTTAACAAGCAGCTAAAACGCATGCCCTTTAAAAATACTGGTTTTGGTTTATTCCACCGGTGTTATTGTCAGGAAGGATATGGCTATCTGTGCTTCGGAGTAGGAAAAATTGTCACTCTGCATGAGTTTTTCTTGTCATGTCTCTAGACGTGTTATGTCAAAGAGCTAGATTACGTGTGAACGGAGGCGCACTAGCAGCGGGTGGCATCCGCTTGTTAGCTGATTAGTGATTTCGAACCAGTGGTCTACAGATACATGCCAATTGCAATCGCCATATTTCCACCAACATGGCTGATTGTTTTGGAATGCGGTTTACTGTTTCTAAAAAATGCCCTGTGTGGACTATATAAAGTTTAGTTTGAAACGTAACCGTCTTATAGAGTGCAACAGTAAAAATGCATGTCAATCAATGCTATATGCTTTTGTTGAAGGCATCAGTTTGCATTAGTTCAATTTATGTTTTAAATGATTGTGTTTAACAGTGAAATCCCTGGTGAAAAACTGCATTACATGATGCTGTAAAGAATCCCACCAATCAGAGATTCGCAGCAAGCAAATCGCACCAAATGTCTGCTGAGCCCTGCTCACTCCCATGAAGCACGACAAATGGTGTAATCGAATGTCCCTTGCCTTTCAAAATGCTAAAATATTTAAATATTCAGTCACACTTTAATTTAAGGTCCAGTTCTCGCTATTAACAAACCATTAACTACAACCTTTGCCTCAATAAACTCCTAATTTGCTCCTTAATATTAATAGTTAGTAAGGTAGTTGTTAAGTTTAGGTATTGGGTAGGATTAGGGATGTAGAATATGGTCATGCAGAATATGTGCTTTATAAGTACTAAGAAACAGCCAACATGTTAATATAGGCATGCTAATAAGCATCTAGTTAATAGTGAGAATTGGTCCCTATACTGAAATGTTACCAAATAGTCTATATAAACCTAAAATATATTGTTTCTATCCACCTTATTCTTGCCGTAAAAAATGGGCATGGCCATTTGTAATTTTTATTGGTCTAGCTTCCGGGCTCATCGGTGTCCAGCTGCTAGTTTTGCTGCTTGATATTGCAAATTGGTGTGTCTTACATTATTTTTGTAATGTATTATCTTAAAGGGGTCATATGATGTTGCTAAAAATAACATTATTTTGTGTATTTGCTGTAATGAAATGTGTTTATGCGGTTTAAGGTAAAAAAAACAACATTATTTTCCACATACTGTACATTATTGTTTCTCCTCTATGCCCCGCCTTTCTGAAACGCGTCGATTTTTACAAAGCTCATCGGTCTGAAAAGCGAGGTGTGCTCTGATTGGCCAGCTGTCCAGTGCGTTGTGATTGGCCGAATACCTCAAGCGTGAGCCGGAAATGTTACGCCCCTCACCATACTGTGATGATGCCCTGCCCGGCTGGAGCGATGATTCAAAAACATTAAAACCCATTATAAATGAGGCATTTGTTGCATCCAGTGGGGACATAATTACGGATTATAATGATTTATACTATCTTCTTATGCGTTGCATTGCATCGCGCAAACATAAAACCATGTCTGCATTTGTGATCAGAGAAATGACAAACAACAAGCTCTACTCTACACTGCTCAAAACTCACATTTGAATCATCAGTGGCAAATTCTTTAAATATGAAAACGTACTTACAGTCTGTGAGTCAGAACAGCCGGCATTGTAGTCTACTCTACCAGGATCAGGAAACAGTCCTCCATAAAATGTGCTGCACACATCTGAATATTTGGGTTGAACTGTTCTGGAACAGTGTTGTAAATACAACTTAACCACTGATTTCTAGTCGTGTCCTCTTTTGGAAGGCCAAACAAAATAGTTTCGCTTTCACAACGAAACACACAGCATCACACACGGCGGGCTAGAGTGAGCGGCGGCGGGCGGGCTAGAGTGAGCGGCTGCGGGCGGGCTAGAGTGAGCGGAGGCCAGAGGCCTAGAGTGAGCGGCGGCTGGCGGGCTAGAGCGGCGGCTGGAGGGCTTGAGAACGGCGTGGCGGGCAGCCTTGCGGCAACCACATGTGACGACCCCGGACTGGACTCCGCTTCGTCCA